GGCGCAGCTTCGCTGGCTTTTTTTTTTTTTTTTTTTTTTTTTTTTTTTTTTAACAGCTGTCAATGTAAATTCGCACAGATACCTAAAATGGTAGGGATCACAATATCCAGGGCTGCAACTAGAAATTAATACTCAAATTGAATAAGCAGTTGATTATTCGACTAATAATCTGAGAGCAAAGGGCTCCTTAAAGAAGACTTTTTACAAAATGAAACCAGTTGAAACCGAGTTCTGTACAGAGCATATTTACAGTCCAGCAGCTTTGCATGTTACCCTATTAAATGGCCATTATTAGCGGCCATCCGTCCCATAGAATGGCTTCAGATTGTGCCTCCTACCTACATTATCATCAACCTAACAGTGTAACAGGGCTTGGCTAATCTAAATATTTAAGAAACTATGAAGCAGCTTACTTCAATTATACTGGAATGTCTTTGGTGACACATTTCTAAACGATGAGAAAGAAGCTTCGAAAGAAAGAGGACATGAAAATCAAGTTTACAAGTTTAAAGAGGCAGGGAAAGAGGAACAGAGAAATAGATCAACTAGACTATACAAAGATCATAAAGATGTTACTTTTGCTCAAGACTTTGAAAATGACCAGATTTAAATAATGGGATTGAAAACATTTCCTGGGAAGCAAGCTGAACCCACCTAGAAGTGACCGACTCCTAACCTCAGTATTTTGGGTCCTGTGTTTGGCCCTGTTATCATTCATATTAGAAGGTAAAGAAGGCGCAATCTGAAGCCATTAAATGGGAGTAATAACCGTTAGAAACGGCCATTTAATGGTTAATTTTCCCCCACGACAATTACAACGAAATCGGCTTAAAATATTTTAAACCACTGTTTCCCACAGGGTAACTTCACCTTGCGCAATGAGACCAAAATTAAAACATTAATTTCTTTCAGTTTAAACTTCTTCTTACCTGCCTGTGCACAGCCTAAGAAAAGAAAGCGTTGTACATATAAAAGTTCTCAAAAACAAAGGCTATATGTGTTGACTGCTTCAAGCTTTTTAAGTTTGGTTTTGGTGGTAGATATTTAAGATGCACAATGTTGTTAAACTACACATTCATATCTGCAACCATCACGTGATTAAAACTGTTCAAAGGAGACAATCATACCTTGTTCTAGGATATAACCCACATCAGCTGCTCGATCGCTGCGTCTGTTGTTAAAATGAGGGAGAGGAAAAACGAAACCTAGTAATGAAAACCAAATGAAGTAAACAAGAGAAAGTAACGGAGGAAATAATTGGTCTGAGTAAAAAAAAAAAAAAAAAAAAAAAAAAACGCGAAAAAAATAGAATGGGCAAAATAATGATAAAGATGATCTCTATGATTAAAAACTTTTTTTTTTTAAACGGTTGATTTTACGCATTTATGTTTGTTGTACCTGTTGTGATATGGAGAAAAGAGTATGGAGGACCAACTCTGCCACATCTAAAAATACTGAAATAAATAAATGCTCAAAAAATAGGCATTCAATTAATTGCCCCCAAAATACAAAAAAAAAAGAAGAAAGAAAGAAAGGACCCAAATGCAGACACAAGAGACTGATGTGATTACCGTACTTGAATTTTTAATTTACCAAAAGTCCAACAGAAGCAAAAATCCCCAAAAAACATAAATCCACAAAACTCCAAAAATGCAGAAAACCAAGAATACTCACAAGAAGAGGGGGATAGAGTAATGACGACAAACCAGCAAAGGGAGCAGGTGTGAACAGAAGCAATAAGGGAGCTAGGGAAAAGGAGACTGACACAAGAGGGTAAACAGGAAATATCCAAGAACTCAAATACAATCAAACTAACTAGATCAAAGTCTATATTGCCCAGGGACAGCCCCAAAAACATAATTGCTCTACAGCGTCGCATAAAGAACAAATTAATGAAACAAGAAAGGAAAATATCTCATCGCTTAATTGATATTTGTAAGCCACAGAAACAATGAACCAATTGCAGCTTTTCAGCTGCAGGTTGCAGACCTTTGTTCTAGCTTACAGAAACTGCCTTGTTTCTGACCCACATTAAAAAAAAAAACAGTTGATTTTGATTGATTTGCTTTATTTTGTTAAATTGGTCTGTTTTAGTATGAAAGAAGTACACATTTAAGGTCATTTATCTTCAATGCAAGTAACATAAGAGAAGTGTAGAACTGCGAAAAGCCTTTATGATTTGAACGTTTTAAATTCAAGATCTGCATTGAAGTGTATATCAGTATCATATATCAATACCTACTCAATATCAGTTAACCTTATTGAAAACTTGAGCTTGAATAGGATTTTCAGAAGGTGACTTAAGTACTTTTAAATTATGGCTAGAGACTGGTAGGGAGAATTTAACAGCTTGAATGTTCTTTCGTTGCACCACATCATAGACATTTTGTCAAATTTTAACAAAGCATAAAGAGCTCAACAAAATCTTAACAGAACTTTTCTTAAATAAAAATAGAGTCAATAAAAATGTACAAATTTAAAAAGACAAAGTATTGGGAATAAGGGCACTTCTTGAGGTTTCCAATTAAAATAATCAAATACAAAGCAATTTCCAGACTTTGCAAAAACCCTGGTAATAAATAATACTGCCAAAAAATAAACTTTTGTTCAGGATTTTAAAGCTTTTCATATTTCTCATTTATTCTTACAACCGTTTTTATGATTAAAAAAACTTACAATGGTCATTTACATGCTTAATAGCAAAAGAAAAGTTAAAAAACCCAGTGTAACAGAAATCCATTGATTTAATGATCAAAAAAGTATTTAATAAGGTCTCCTAACCATTTCTTTACAGCCTAAATATACATATTAACATAAATGTTAATTATAAATACTTATTTTATCAGACAAACACAAAAACAAGATTTTATACAACCTGATTTGTTAAAAGATACCGAATTATCTTTAAATCTCTCGTCAGTAGTTTTTATTTCAGTTGAGACAGTTTCTTCCCATAGTTACACACTTTATAATCTTAATTTAATCTCAAAGACTTTATATGTAGAACAACATAGCGGTCCTGGACACGGCAGAACTTATATAACAATATATTTTTATTTGTGTATTATTTTAAAATATATTCACATTTGTTTCCTGCAGCTTTCTGGTCCATATTTCTTCAGGTGAGCAGACGTTGTTTTTTTTAGTTTGTGTCTGCAGTCTGCAGTTGATTACCTGTATTCCTGCTTTTTGGATAATGTGAGGAGTCCTCTATCAAGTTGAAGCTTTCTTTCCCTTTTTGATTAATGTTATTAATTCCAAGGTAATCATTTTTATTGTTTGCCAACCTACTATTGTTTTGCCTGAAGCCTCCTTGATCCAAAGTTCCAGATATGAGGGAGATCCCACTTATCTTTTCTGGTGTATTTTTCTGCAGTACTATTACCTCTGAGCTTCTTGTACTTCTGCTTTTGTTTTTGCCGTCTTCTGCTTGTTTGTTCCAAACCACAGACTCAGAATGGCCACCAGGACTGCTGCTGCCTTCTCCACAGAGCTCACCAAAAGGAGGTGAAGGTGAGGGATTGTTACTGGTATTTCTTGAGCTAGAAATAAGGCTGTTTTTTCTCTCCCTTTGCGATGAGCAATCAAAATCTGTGCTTGATCTGACAACACAGCATTGTGTGGATGGATGATTCTCAGGGTAGGTTGGGTTCATCTCAGAGTTTAGGGGAAATCTTGAAGAAGTCCTGAAGCAAAGGGCAGTAACGTCTGGCTCAGTGCCCATCCTGTTGGTGCTGGAAGGTTTAACTATTGTGAAACGATGTACACCAAGAGTCCTCCCTGATGAGGTCCTGGCAGGAGGATCATGACACGGTGGCCTGGGTTTGACGTTCTGCAGTGAAGGCAAGTCTGATTTAGGAACTAACTGAGAATCTGAATGGGTTAAAGGTGGAAGTCTGAGGGGGAAACAGGAAACGGATCAGGACGTATATCACACTACATTCTAGTTTAAAAGCTTTTTCGTGATCACACTGAAAAATAAAAATATACAGATAATGAATCATTAATTAGGATGTTTTTATGATTAATAGCATACAAACCTGGGGCTTTTCTTTGGCCTACAAACATGAGCAGAAGATGAGGCTCCTAACGGTGAAGGTAGGAGCTCCAAGTCTCTTTGAAGTGATGCTCTAAGGTTTTTCAGCTCTGCACAAATGCAAACACAACAGAAAAACTCTGATATGAAAACATATTAAAAAAAACAAATTCCCTTTAAAAAAAAAAAACATAAAAAAAAACAAAAAGCAAAAGGATTTATAAAAGGCAAGAGGTCATTTTGTAAGCAAACTATATAAAAAAAGCTAGAAAACCATGCTATGTTTATCACTAATATGCATGATGTATTTTTAATACATTTCTAGGAACTGAGAAGAACTGCTATTTTTTAAATAAGAAATTGTTTTTATTATATATTATTATGAGGTATACTGAACTGAATTAGGCACCTTTTACTACAGATACATTTCCCTGTACTACATGCCCACATGGATTTCATACAGTAGTTTTCAATCTAAAATAAATTCCTAATTCTAAAAAAACAATCCAATCAAGTCCACTCAATTGATAAATGAAATCCGAGTGATGTTCCATAATACATGCACCATTTACTGATGTAAAACCTGCATTTTTTTAATCAGAGTTTGAGTTTTCAAGTACTGATCCAAACCTGGAGAATGATAAATACATCCATTCCAGTTTTAATGAGACTGAAAAAAGCCTGAATCGTTTCCAAATGCTCTTTTTAATGCTGCCATTTTATATATACTTCTTCCAGTTGTATAATCAGCAAACTTTTGATAGACTGGAGAGGAAAGAACTTGATCATATTCTTTAAATGTACTCTTGCCTGATATAAACCCTCTATATTAAACAACTAAGCTAGAAATGAGGCCTGTATGGAAAACTTTCTTTCTATTCTCTTGTAAACCAAAACTTGTCAGCAGATGGCAGCAAATATCCAAAATACAGCTCACCTATAAGTGAAGGTTCAGGCTTTGTTGTTTTGCTCTCATACTTTAATGTCATGCTTTCCTGCAAGAGACAGTTCACAAGAGCAAAATGAGCCAGTTTCAGTTAATGTTGCAGTTTTTCTGCATGTCACCATTATGTGTAAAGGAATACATGTCTGGAAAAGAAAGACACATTGGAAAAAAAAGGTAAACGTATGAAACACTCCCAAGAGGAGACTCTGGAAAGGAAGGAAAATGAAGGTTTAAAAATAACCCAGAGAGTGATTTTAAAGGAATGCAAGTGTGTATATTAGAGAAACCACTAAGCGATTGAGCAGCAGTGTTCCATCATACATTGGCCTCTAACGTATGAATCCAAGCAAATAAAAACCATAGCACTCTATGTGTGCCAGAAGTTGGGAAGACCAGTAATGAATCTGATCTTTGCAGTTAGTAGCCTTTTTTTAACATTAACACACAGCGCATGTGTTTTAAAGCAACCACAACGTGCACCACACTACACAGAAAGGTACAAACATTATCACTCATACCTGCCTAAGTCTGGAGCCTGAATGTTAATGTGCAAATCACAGTCTGCCAGAGGGATTAAAAGCCAGATCTCCAAGTGTCTTATTTCAGATTCATTATATGTCTTGTTTTGACTTGGAATAATAAAAGCTCTGTTGTGAGCTCAGTCTGAAAATGTACTTTTATCAGCCTATGGATGGGGGTGCACATTACCATGGTTCAACCTTGCTGATATCTAAAAGGGTAGCTATAAATATAAGGGATTTTCTTTTATGGATGAGAAAAAAAAACCCACATTGTCTAATTTCCTGAAACCTAGTTGAAACACAGATGGCTGTCATTTCTACAGATTCTACAGCACCTTCTCCCTTTATTGGCAGTCATACAAATGTGTGAACAGAATAAATATTCATAACATTTTAATACAGTGACATATTCCCACACTGGAAAATGTGAGTATCAGAGATTTTTTTTTTCCAGTTAAATTCCAGTTGTAACTTTTTTTTTTTTTTTTTTTTTTTTTTATTGCTTTAAGTGTTGATTTGGTAATGATTAAGTGAGCATGTTGATATTTTCCTGGGACCATTTCTTTATTGATTAAGATCAAAACAAATCTGCTTGATTGAAATGGCATGACCTTTAATCCTTCCTATTTTGAAGAGTGGCTTCAAAAATGTCACAAATAATTTATACCCATACTAAAACTGGATTTAATTCGGGATTATGACTTGATTTTAACATGACCCCACACTGCACAACTACCAAGCGGGCAAAGGTTAAATTCTAAACAAAATGACATGATACCCTGTAGTGTTTTAATGCATTTTCAGCCAGAAAACTTTGATTGGGCTGCAACTTTAGCTTAGACTGGTCTTACTGTATCATATTCAGAATGTAATGCTGGGGATGGTAGCATAATGTATGGGCTGTGATTTGCTGCAAATGCAAAAGCTACCAACCATCCATTACTAAATAGAACTTCTAGCCATCACATTTATCACCTGGGATAGAGCAGTATAGCCCGATTTCCAACTGGACAAGAAGAAACGGTTGACAAAGGTAGCATGAATCAGAAATGTCTCAAAGGGGACCATGATGGGTGAGCCACATTCCCAGAATAGAGGCAGATTCTATGTGGTTTTTATTCTCCAAACACCCTTAAAAGCTGGGTCTAATTCAGCTTATTATACAATTAATTCAATTAAAATGATAAAACAAAAGGGGTTATGGGAAGTGTGCTGAAGAAAAAAATACTTTTTGTTTTCTCCCTTAAGACATTCAGCTAATAAAGGATCTGGGGGTTATTATGTGAAGTTACAATAGTAACAGAGAGGAAAAGTGACAAATAATATTTCCAGGTTAGGAATGCATACAGAGTTTAAATTATCTTAAAGCTGACTGACTTAATACTAATCAAACAAAGTGTGTATAGGCAGGTTATAGCAGCTTTTTGGAGCCTTCCTTCAGCAAAAAAGAAAATGAGTCATAATCTGTTTGTTTAGCACTAATTGTAGATGGGCTGCTGCATGTCGCAGTAGAAAAAAACTCAGATCAAACTACATCAGCCTAAATACCAAAGGCAGCTGTATTTAGTAGCTGCTTTAAAACTTTATTGCTTAACTAATAAGATTAAACACTCAATGAATACAATTTTCCACTGTTTTAAACATGGAGGAGCTTTATGAAGTGAGGAACTGCTCAGACGCTTGTCATTTTTCCTCTATTCTAGCACTGTTTAAAGAGTAAAAACAATGTTCTGTTTTTTTATCAATTAGTTTAGATATTAGTTGTGATTAAAAAATATAAATAAATCAATAAATAAACCATAAAATGAATTGGCCAATATTAATGTCCATATTAAAATACATAAAACAAGAGTTAGTAATGATTTCATAAAATGCAGTTTGTAAATTTAACATGTTGCTCTGATTAAATTTAGACACTGAGCATACCTTCACCTTAGATCTGGGTCCCAACTGCTTTTATCTTTGCAAAATAAGAGTAGGAGGCACTTTTATCCAAACTGTGTCATCCAGAGTATTTTTTCATTTTGCCACTTCACAAATACAAACTTTAATCCATATCATCTGTAGATTTTAAATGATAATCCAACACAAACATTACCGTGTGAGGATGAGGGATGTCGAAAAGTGACAACCCGTGCTAAAAAAAATTTCTTAGAGAATATGAGTTTTTGAATTTATGTTGCTGTAAAGAAAAACAAACAGAAGATCCTGAGGCCAGATTACAAGACTCAATGAATTATTACAGCTCTTCAGGAGACTCTGTCTGGCATAACTACCAGTCACTGAAAGCGCTCTGGGAGTTTATGCTGAACTGAAACAATAGTCTGTTTAAACACATTTAATAAATAAAGCTTAGCTTGCATTAAAACACTGCAATGATTTAAAACAAAGTTAACACATTCTTTAGATTCTCGGTCTTACATTAAACGTTAAACCATCCCAAGAGAATCACAAAAAAGAAATAAGGAAAAAAAAGTTTGAAACATCTGGGCAACAGAGATGTCCTACATTTAAATTTCTCTCTGTTCCTCTCGTGCAAGAAGTGGTAACCAGATTGTTGACATAAATACCCGGCTTTTGAGCCTCATGTGATTCATGCTGCGTGTGCTTTATTGTGCCTTTAGTGTCATCATTTGAGAGATTGGAAAAAGACCAATACTTCCCAGCATTGCAGCAGCTTGTGGCCAGACAGATGGAAGCTGAGTTTCAACATGTCAGCATGTTTTGTTTTGGCTCACATGTAATAGAGCAACACAAAGAATAGTGGATTTCTAAAATGGAAGACGAGTGATATGTCAAAAAGCATGACATAGATTTGCATTAGGCCACCTTTACTGTGGTACCTCTAAATGGAACCAGTCAAACCAAACACAAAGTACCCTATTTGGCAAATAACACCTACCTGTATACTGTATAAAGCAAATTTAGGTATGAATAAATTGACCAAACTTGGCCAAAATGGTAATAGCACTGTTCAATGAGTCATCCAAAAACGGAAAGGCTACAGCTGAACTACAATCCAATCCACAAATGTGAATTTATAATATATATCATACGTAGGCAAGCCGGAGAAGGAGAAGCAAGGAGGACTATGATGACTCTGGGGGAGCTGCAGATATCCACAGCTCAGGTGAGAGAGTCTGTTAACAGAACAACTTTTACTTATGCTTTCCACCAATATGTCCTTTATGGAAGAGTGAAAATGAAAATCCATTTTTGAAAGAAATCAAATTAAAGCCCTACTCGTTATGCAACAGCTATGTAGAAGACAGCAGACATAGGGAAGTAGTTGAAATGACCAGAATTGGCCAATTGTCTACATGAAAAACATTTTATTTGGTGGAAAACTAACCAGCAGCATTATACTGGGATTTTTTGTCAGCAAATACTTAGACTTAAACTTGTCATTTTGTATACACAGAGTGTATAAAAAGGAAATTTAGTAAAGTTTAGGGACCGGAATGATGTTGGCAGACTTGAAGCATGCTGGCACTATGGATTGGTCAAGCGAGGTGTTAAAAATAACTGTGAGAACAGCAGCCAGCTGACCCTTCTTGGGTTAACTCTCCTCATAATCTTCCACACATCAGCTGTGTCAAGGCTGATGTGTGGACACTGGACAGACTGGTTTAGCAGATGGATGGAGTTACATACAGGGCAATAGAGACTGCACCTGACATGAAGGCCTTCTAGCAGCATGATGACTAAACAGCTTTAGGGCCATCATGCTGCTGGAGGAGCTGAAATGGGATGATCAAAGCATCTCATTGTGTAAGAAAGGCCCAGTCAAAGTACAAACCTTAAATCCAACTAAGAATTTACAGTCAGACAAATCTGAGCATTTTCAAAAAAATGACAAAACCTTACATATCTGATACATTACCTTAGCTGGGTGTTATGTGTCAGAATACTAATTTTTTTTTAACATGTGGGATAACAAAAAGGTTTTTGCAGGTAGAAAGAGTATGCTGCTGTTAGGTAACAACTTTGGATTGGTGGGACGGCCTTACATAAATATATCACTAGAATGATTGACAGTTAGGAGGACCTTTTGTTTTGACAAGCCACCCGGGAAAAAAAAGAACATACTGCACTATACCATTAACACTCACTATCAACCGTTCATACAGCAAATTCCTTAAAGGTTTATTTCAAGGCTTCTATTTATGGATAAAATCAAATTAAAGCTATAATTGTCAGTAAGAAGCAGTTATAAATTCCTTAGATTTCCATTACTTTTTCAGAACATTGTTGATTGACTGATTTTGTATCAAGAGGTGTTTAGTTGGTCGTTCACTATACGTACCTTTAGATACTCTGCCCTCTTATTCAGTTCTTCACATTCCTCCATTAGTATACAGCTAGACAGAAACATAGACAATATAAATGGTGAATTACAATCACTAAAAACAGAAGACACATATACATTTTATTACTAACTTTTTTTTTTTTTATTAACTCTGGAAACAGAACCTTGGTTTGTTTTTCCCTCCCACCATCACTACACTCTGTCTCCTCTGCCTAGATTACCACTGGAGACCTTATTCACTGGCTTTAAATGAAAAAAAAAAAAAGAATCATCTGCTAGTCTGGGATCCATTTTCTAACAATAAAGCCTTTTGTTCTGGTCTAGTCAGGAAATGGGCAAGAGAGTAAGAGGAAAGGAAAGGAAGGGAAGAAAAAGAGGAGCTGTTTGAAAAGGTAGCTTGGGTAACCGTGTTTCCCTGTGAGCCTCAAAGCAAGGATGAAGTGAAGAAAGGATGTATGGTGCATGAAAAGGAGGCAGTCTGGTGACAGAGGCCAAAAGCTTGCAGAGATTTTAGGTGGGGGGGTTGGAGAGAAGGAGTGCACTCAAAGGATCAAAGTATCAGGTAGAAAAAAAATGCAACCAATGAAAGAGCCAGTAAGAAAGCTGAATAAGGGAGAGGAAATGAAAGCATGTTTGTAACACTGGAAGGCAGGGTAGGTTTCTGGGGACATTCTTTACCCTGCCTGTTCAGTAAATCTACCAGTGCTGCCCCATTATAGCACTGGTATGCGGCTGCTGGTGCTTAAATGTGGAGGTGAGGTTTTGTGAAAGGGTCTTGCACACTATTACACTTAGAATAGTTTTAGCATAATATTACAGTCCGATAAGTTTAAACTCTTTGTAGCTCATATGTTAGATATTAGAGATTAGAAAGTTTTACTGCTTTATCCAATGAGCAACAGTACATTTTTGTCACTTTGTGAATCAATGACAGATTTTAGGTTTGAAATAAATGAGCCACACCACTGTTTTGTGTAGACAGTGCTGGGAAAAAGAACCTCCCTGCTGAGAGATTTCTTCTGTTTCACTTCTGCTGTAACTTTGCTTCTTTGTGTAAAAAGAAATAGATCCTGATATTAACCGTCATAGCTACAACTTTTTCTTCAAAACTAAAAGAAACAAGAAAAAAAATCCATGAAACTTCGAGTGGTGCAGAAGGAAAGTATTGAATTTATCGGGGAAAAAAATCATTTCTGACTAAATTCTGATTTACAAAATATATACATGTATATAAGCCAGAAGCAAACAAAAGATTTCCCCACACTTCATCTGTGCAAGATCTCATTTTAATGCTGTAATAAAAAAAAATAAAAAAACACTTAAAGATTAGAGGGGCAGTCTGTGCAACCATATCAAGTCCAGTACTAAAGTTGCAAAAATACAAAATAACCCAATTTCACCAAATAAACTGCATAAAACTAAAGCAAAGCTCTACCTCCTGATGTCTATTTTTTTTACCCACAGCTTCCCTGTTGTGTTTCTACACTTAAACACCTTTCTAACAATGACCAGCTGTTTTGATGTCTTCCAGTCCGGCTTCTGAACTCAACACAGTGCAGAGGCTGCCCTTGTCTTTCAATGACATCTATATAAATGCAGACGGTGCTGGTGTTAGTGGGTCTCAGTGCAGCATTTAAAGCTTTTGAGCACTCAATTTTATTAGAGAGCCTGGAAAACTCGGTTGGGGTTTCTGGTACAGAGCTGGACTGGTTTAAATCCTACTTGAAGGAAAGGTACTTTTTTTTTTTTAGCAGTGTCCTGTCTGGCAATGTGGCAATAAGAATAATTGTCTTGATGCCAAAAAGAGCCCAGCAGTGGGGCAGTAGGACTATTGCCATAGTGTTCTGCTTGTTTTAATGCATATAAATTGCTTTATTATAATTATGCAGGGAGTTTTACAGATTATATGGACACAGCTATGTAAATAGAACAGAAGAGGAAAAACAAAAAAAAGGAGAGAAGATGAAAGAAAGAGGAGATAGAAGGGAGATAATGATAAAACATTTTCAGTCTGCTTCATCACCTCCAATGAGATGTAAAAACAACAGCACAACCAACAGACATGGTACGAGACATACAATAAAGTAACAGCTTGAAACTATCCCTGAAGTAGTATTATTTAATCTGACATGTACTCTGTGTTACCTGAAGATAAGAATATCGGCTTTCTGTATGGAAGTGAATCTCTGAGTACCTGGAACCAAGCACCTGGAAAGGGATTTTTGAAATCACAAGCAGAATTCCCCAAGGGTCCATCTTAGGGTCCATCCTGTTCAATATCTACATGCTCCCCCTAATTCAGATCTTAATAAACTACAGCATTAGTTACCATAGTTATGCTGCGAGCATCTTTTATTTAAGTGTTCATCCCATACTGATGTTTGTAAGGCTGTTTGGATTCAGCACAGCACTCCATAGCTCCTTACCTACCCTGGATAGTGTTTTTACTGCTGACTCAGGGAAAACTGAAGGCTTATGAGCTACAATTTAAATATATATTTGGAAGGAGTCCTAGTAGCTTTGTGATGGCACTAATAAAAAAAAGACTTCTTCTTGGCGGAAAGAGAGCAGGAAAGCATGAACATGTCCGTTTTTGATGGAAGGAGTTAAATTGATCACCTTTTAATTTTTTGTGTAAATACTATAAAACCTCAGTAGAGAGCTTTTTATAGACAAGGTAATCTTACCTTGAGAATTAGTTATACATTACACAGAGACCTAAAGGCATCTAAAACCCTTAACACATCAAGATAAATTAAAAACAACAGCTGTAATTTACCTGAGTTTAGTAATCACTTGGTAAATCTCAGTGGAGTTCAACTTGTCTTTAACTTCTTCAATCTCACCTTCAGCACCGGACATGACTGAACAACAAGGGCTTCTAGAGGAAGGAGAGGAGGAACCAGATGTGTTCTTCTTTACTTATTATCTAGTCTAAGCTGGCTCCCTACCTGCTGATGTTATCTGCATCTTTTAGGTTTGGGGGTCTGCTGCAAGTGATCTCCTGGTGCTGAAGCACATAGTGAAGAGTCTCAGGTTTGTGTTGCAGCAAGAGATCCTCAGCGTCTCTGTCACCATGAAATGAGGAACAAACACCAGACAGGTTAGTGAATGTAGTGCAAAACAGTCTAAGAAAATTTGTTTTAAATGATACATGTGGTTTGGACTTTTAGCTAAGCTCTTGAGAACAGATTCAAAGGTTTGGGTTCAATTCCCACCAGCGTCAAGTAGGGCTGTGCAATATGGCCGAAAAAAATCAGTCAATATCAAAAATCATTGATTTATTCAGGAAGAAAACGAGTTACACTGAGCAGGGGAAAAACCTCCACATGTTCCGTTCAAGTACCCATCAGAAATCCGAGTGACGGTCCGCTCTATTACTCCTCCGGGTCCAACGCTTGTCTAACCTGTCCGCCCTCCAATGTATGCACCCTTCTCTGGATTTACCACAAAGTCTGGATTCAAGGACTAACAAGGCCCCCTCAAACGTGAGTTCCCAACCTTGCAAAATCTCTTCCAGATCCAACTCCTGTTTACTCTTTCAATAAACCTGTTAAAGTTTTGCCTTGTTCTCTGAGTGGTTATCTCTGCATGTGGGTCATGACACACAAACTAAACTAGGATGTTTAGTTTGTCAACTAGAGGCTGAGAGTTTATATTTTGTTAAAGCTTCTTCAGATCCCACAGAATATTGTGTGCTTCGGGATGAGAATTCAATAAACTTAAACTGTTAAAAGTATTTTCAATGATATTAATCTGACATCTATCAAAATATATTATTTTCTTAATCACCCAGCCATAGGGCGAGTTTCATGGGGAGCGGTGGCCTAACGGTTAGAGCAGAACTTGGGCTCTGATAAGACTGCAGCTACCATGTTCAAACCCCAAAGACTACCACTCTGGGTCCCTGAGCAAACCCTCAGCTCCAAAGTGCTCACCTCACAATACGTGGTATCTACTGCATGAGGAGCAGAGAAGATTGCTGTCAACAGCTTCAATGGGATTGTTGTAACCCAGACATACTGATGAACTGGCTTAGTCAAGTCCATTTTAAAATCCAAATGAAAATTTGAGACAAGACCTAAAAATGGTACTCGGGGAGTATGAAGTATTTTGTGAATCAAGATTGGTCAGATAGTGTCAAGATTTTATGTTATTCTGTGTTGGAGATTTATATATATTTTTTATATTCTTAGTTTTAATCTTATCTAAATTCTTCATTTTTGGTATTATTTATTCCTTGGTTTAGTTTTAGTTAGTTCATCTTTCTCTTATCTTTAGGTTATGTTTGCCATGGCTTCAGTTATCTCCATTACCTTCTCCTATCATCTACCGGTAGTTTTCTGCTTGGTCATTCCTCGTTTTGTAGTCATTAGTTTTATTCCCCTTTCGCCTAATTTAAATTATTTTCTAGTGACAGTTGAACACTGTTTTCCCTGGCTGTGACAGTTAAACACTGTTTTTTCCTGGCTGTTCTTTGTTGCCCCCTAGTGACCCTTTCCTTTCCTCTTTTATAGCTCCCTTCTAGCTGTTTCGGTCCACACCTGCTCCCAATTAACTTATTACTACACTCTTTGTTCTGTCACCAATATTAAACACTTTGTGCAGCTTCATTAATTATATAGCCTTTACAAAATTTGCCTTTTAAGACAGCTCAAACTATGTGATTTTACACAGTGATGTTTGGAGCATCAGGACAGCACAAGCTGAGGTTGATAATATAAATCGGCTGACTTTTACAGGGTACGGCCCCATCTATAACTTTCATGTTGCACTGACTGTCCTGCATATAATGTCAATGCCTTTTGCTACAAAGTGTTTTTGGCCAAAGTGAAAAGCAAATCAAATGAAAAAGTGATGCACATGAACAAATTCTTTTTATGGAAGGACTTTGTGAAGCCTTGGCAGTGTTTTCCTATATTTCACGCCAGCAGAGCATTCTAAATTGAGTCAAATTGACAAATAGAGGTTTCCTCAAGTGACTTTGTTGAGTCAAAGCATTATTAGTTCGAAGTGTGCTGGGTTTACTCCTGAAAGCCATTCAGCTGATATGCACTTGAGGCTTAGCCTAATTGAATGATCAAAGGCCTGCATTGCCCACACACCCGCACAGTGCCATGTATCAAGGTCGACAATTTATACTGAAGCCAACTTCAGAGGGAAAATTAGATTTGTTCTGGTAACATCCGTGTGGTTTCAGTACTTGTACTTGATTCTTTTCCCAGAAAGCCATGAACAACATGGTGAAAGCCTGAGACTGAAAGATAATTTTTATAATTTATTAAAATCCTAGCAAGAGAACTTTTCATAAAGTAACATGTGGTGTGGAAGCATAACAGGCTTAAGTTTGACTCTCTACTGACTTTAACAGTACATTTTTTGTGGTTTTTGGTGTCTTATATCCTGAAGCATAAATCCCTGTTAAGCAAAGTTTTTTTTTTTTTTACTATAAACAGTGTTAAACATTAAAGTGGAAATCAGAAAAGTTTGATGGAAGACATTCTTGTAGCCGAAATGATAATATTTTAAAACAAAACATGTACGTTGCCTTCAAAAATCTGCAGCAAAAACACGTCCTCCGCCTCGGAGGGACATAAGTAGTACTTTTTTATTACCCCTTTTGTGTAGATACAAATAACATAGAAAGGAAATATCCAGCACTGTGAACTGATTGCTCGGTTATTTAGCATATAAAAAAGACAAAATGTCTCTCAGATCTGGGAAGATTATATAAAGTAAAATTATATAGAAGAAAGCACATTTTTAAGTTTTAATGTATCTAAGAATATCTATCTATTGTGGCAGAAGGTTCGCAAGCATGTTTGGTTGTGGCAGGTTTGTTGGAAGCATCTTGCTAACCAGTTAGCAACTTATTGCTAGTAGGTTCCCAATAGGAAATTCCATTGGGACCAGGTAGCACTAAATTGGTGACTTAGAAACGACACTGTCAAGGAACGCTATGGACAGTGGAAACATGCAAGAGGAGGAGAGTTTTGTGCCGGAGGTCGTGGATGAGTCTCCTTTGTCATAAACTGAAAGTACTGAAAGTACCAGACACTAGGGAAGCAAGAGGAGAAGGAGATACAGACTGTTGGATTAAAGGGATGTTTTGATCAAGGACTTGCACCATTAAGTTAGAGGTATTTGTTAAATACAGATGTGAAGGAAAACAGTCCTGTACTCTCAAAAAAAAAAAAAAAAAAACTGTGAGTGTAACCAGTACCTTTCACCGTTGCATGCTCTTTCTTTTAGGGTCTTCAGCAGCATCTTGACCTCACCTCGCAACAACTCTTTCAGAGCAGGTGGGTCAGAAAAAGGAAGACCTTGCCGTCGGGTGAAGTCAGTCTGTGTATTGTTTTGATGGTTTCCATGACCCCGACTCTCCTGCCAAAGTTCGTAATTCTTCTTTGCCTAAGAATGATACCATGGTGATGATATAATCATTAACAAACCTTCACATTTCTTCATTGATTTCTGATTATTGCAATGTATCTGTGAACAGGTTCCCTTTATAAGGACGAAAGAAAACAGAGAAGGAATTTACAAAATATTTCCAGAAGAAATTGGGATGTTTGTTTCAAACAAACAAAAACATTGTAAAAAAAAAAACAAAAAAACCCCCTCTTGATACATTTATAATTTCATGTCATGATATTGCTGCGCTCTGTTAAATCAACATTTTCTAAATGGGAGCATTATTTTTTTCATTTGATCTTGAACTATCAATTCAAATGAAAAAAAAAAAAAATCAAATTATGATCATTACCCAGTTACAGAACCACAAAGATACATTATCAGAGGTTAGAAGTTATTAACAGTTGAGAGATTCAGAAATTAAACCTATTTGGTAGGGCACACTGCAGTTGCCTTGAAGACACAAGAAACAAAATCTAAATTTGGATGTATGCGTGGAAGTAGCCCCACTAATACATGAATATACTTTGATTTTAACATGCCGTATATTAATATTTGGGTTTATTTTGGTTAAAGTGAATTATTAGTCTAAATTATTTCAAAACCACTAAATGTCTTTTTCCTATATTGCTCTGTGCTGTGTTAAGCTCCTTTCTTATCAATCTTCGGCAAACTGACGAAATAAAACATCTCTTGGCACCAACAAGTTTGACACAGTCCAGCAAGTTCAAATAATGTCTTATCCTAAAAGTTGTGGGCTACTTAGTCTTGGCTGAGCAAATAAAAAAATTTATTTATTTGACTGATTCTTATTTTGGGGTAAAAAGTAGACTCATCAGTGAATCCAAAAGGAAACACTTAAATGCTTGTTTCCAATCTGATTCTTGCGTTTTAAAATAAAAGATATCACAACAAAGCAAAACTACAATTCACCATAAAAAGTGCAATTGTAAGGAATCCAGTTTGTGTGGGTTGTGTTTTTGTGTGTTCTTCCTCCTACACCAGGTGGCGCCTGGTTCTCGATGGCCTTGTCACACACATGTGGATGGTTGCCTCATTACCGGAATCTTAAGCTGCTGACTGCAACTACCGACTGCAACTATCGAGGCCAGAGTGTTTGCCAATTTTGGGTACTCTAGCCAAGCTGAGTTTTGCTGAGTCAAACTGAGTTTTTGTCTGCCTGAGTCTTAATCCTGCTGTTTTTGTCTTTGCCTCTCGGCAGGAAGTCATCCTGCAAACTGGATGTTTTGGACCTTCTCCCCCTGGAAGGATTGTCTGAGCTTCAAACTGAGCTGGGGATTCAAACTGGAGGTTTGAATCTACTTTTCCCCAAAGGATTGTTTGAGCTTCACACTGAGCAGGGGATTCATCTCCACAAAATCCATTCAAGTACCGAAGGAAATCTAAGTGGCAATCAGCTCCTCCGTTCCTCAAGGAAACAACTTAATCTGGGTAAACCCTGTCCGCCCTCCAATGAGCAAACCAATTTCTGGAACAACCCACACCAACTGGACTCAAGAAAGACACCTTTTCTGGAAACGTGAGCCCTATTGCCTTTACTCCCTCTTGCAAATCGAAGCTCAAATTTCCCACTGAGCCTGAACTAACCACAGGACCTTCCCCTTCTCTTTTCAGTCCCGGTTCGCCGGTGTTCAGAGCAGCACTGGACCCATCCCTACCAGTTCTCAATAAACCTGTTAAACCTTCACCTGGTCTCTCTGTTTGGTTTTCTGCATGTGGGTCAGATCTTTGCATAAAATCATGACAGCAATAAAGTAAAAAGGCAAGAAAAATGCATTTTCAAAATTTAAAATAAAAGCTAGTACAGAAAAACTATTTAAAAACAGTCGGAACAAATTACAACTACTAAAAAGAGTGTTGTTTACATGTATTCAAGTTATGCATTCATCTCCCTGCTGCCCTCTGAGAAAAGGCTTCACAGCATCCACGGCAGGTCCAGAAGGTTCTGCAACAGCTTTTTCCCCGCTGCCATCATCCATCCAAGTGTTCCATCATGCATCATCTATTAAACTCTAAACTGAACTCTGCATCACATTTTTTGTTGTATTGTAGCTGAGAACTTATAATCCTTTGAAGTATAACACAACTCAATGTTCTTCTACATTATGCACCATATTTATTTTGCACTGCACTTACCCTTTTTCATATTAATGCCCTTTTGCACCATTATTTTTTTTTTTAACTGGGTCACTTCTCTCCTGCACTGTTTACATGCTTATCACTGCTGCACTTTATTAAGGTAATGGTCATTTCATTGTAAGCTGCTCATTTAACTGTTGTACACTGTAAGCACCATCATTTTGTTTGTATAAAGTTTGTCCAAGTCTAAGTCTAATTAGTAATGCGTACCTTTATTAAAGCAATTACCAGAGACTGGCCCTGACCATTTAAAAATAAAAACAGGCAAAAATGGTGTGCCTTAGATGATCTTGCATTATATTAAGATACTAAGTTACTTTATAAAGTTTTTAAATGTGCATTCTTAAAAAAAATTCGCTGGATTATAACTCCATGACTCCATAACTCCATAAAACAAATAGTCCAAGTGCACTGATGTGTAAAACAAAGGTCTTTGTAATAGCTCCAGTAAGCCTTCAAGTTTCTGTAATCTGTGTTAGTCTTTGTGTCTCATAGGAGTCTGGATACCATTAGCACCTCAGCACCTGCTCACAGCCAGTCATTCCTGCCATGTTGCACCCAGAGACTTCACTTCAAAGGAATATATCAGCAGCAGCTACTAAACTTCTGAACTCTCCACATGTATGCATGCACATTCAAACACCAGCTCAAACTGTATTTTGCAGCTGCATACAGCACTTTTAGCCCCATGCTTTCTGTCTGTTTTCAAATTGAGAGGTGTTTGTTACCTGTTGGCTAATGACAGGTTGTTCATCATTAAGCTGCACTCAACAGTTAAAACACAACAAAGATTGTTCTACATCCGAAATATTTCAAAGCCATGAGCATTTCTCAAAGATAGTTTACCAGTGTTTCTCCTTGTACAAATTACTTAGAAAATAGCATTTCAAACTCAGCTTTTTGACCATGTGGTGACAGGACGGTGCCTTTCATGTCTAGTCCTGTAAACCTTTTCCTGAATATAAGTACTACAAAGATTTTTTTAATTGCTTCATGAAAAGCATAGGAATGCTTTATAGAATTTTACCCACGAAATCCGGCAGAGTTCATATCCACATTTAAATATTTGGGGTTTTGGATTGACGTGTGTTAGAGACCATGTTTCTTATCTCATGAGGATGCTCCAGCTCATATTTGGGATTTTCTTACAGCATTGTACTTTTTTCATGTACCGTAAAACCAAAAGAAAAGAATTAAACTCGTCTTTCCTATAGGTCAGGGGTCTTTAACCTTTTCCAGGCCCAGGACCCCACAAACTAATGGCGAGATGGAGCAGGGACCCCCCAATTATATATATTGTATGACACTGTGTTATATCAAACTGCTCTTATAGTCACTCTATTACAAATGAAGTCATCTAACAAAAGTAATTTTCCCCTGGGATTATTAAAGTATTACTGATTCTGATTCCTTGTTGATGGGACAGGTGTTGTGAATGAAATGGTGCCCAGCTTGAAAGAGCTCCTGTATGTCGCTGAATGTGTGCATTGATGACTGAAAGACATCTTCTGCCTCCATTTATCTGTTCACTACAGTGTGTTGAATTCATGTTAATGTGTATTTAAAGACATTTCAATTAGTGGAAAAAATTGCAGGGGGGAAATTAAAAAAAGTCTAATCAACCATAGCTTTTGCGACCCCCATGCAGTACCTCCGTGGACCCCTAGGGGCCGTGGACCCCCTGTTAAAGACCTCCACTATAGGGGATGATGGATATAAAGTATACAATATATGAATATTAACTTGTTTATGCATACTGGGCAGTGTTTATGACAGGCCTCTAATGTATTCCTGAATTTGGGTTTTCTCCTTACTAATGTAAACTGGATGATCATCCCCACTTGCTTGTTGCCTCATTTAGTCGTAATGTTCATACAACAACCTCCTGCCTGTTAACATGCTAACTAAGTAAGGCTCCCTTTGCAGGAGAGTTATGAGCAACGGGAAAAGATAATTTAATAAAGAAAGCTATATTTATTTTAAAGGACCCTTTTTTGCACCGCTCAGAAAAAAAATAAGGAGGATTAAGGGGAATACACCAAGAACTGTGCATGGAGGAAAATTGTAAGAGCTTATTATGTTCTCCTATCTAACATCTTACACAATGAGGACTTTGATAGAGGGATGAACAGATTTATTAAGGAATGGAGGAGTAGCCTTCAGTTCTAGTATCACCTTACCTTTCACTAAGGCATGTGTTCATCACTGAAATGGGCGGGGACAAACATAAAAATAAAAAAAGAGACTGTTTGGGAAAGAGATAAAACAGTAAAGACCCAAAGCAAAGAATATAAACTGTAAATAACTGTATGAGCAGTTAAATAACCCTTTTATGCTGTATTATCTTCACATGATCTCTATCTCATATTCAGTTAATATTCTGATTTTCGACAGCTATTAGTCATGAAGAGAACAAATCTACCCTTTAGAGAAGTGTTAAAGAAAGTACCTTAAAAAGAAAGATATAAGAAGCTCTATTTGGATTTGAACATGGTTTCTCAATCTGGTATTGAGGGTCTGGTGTTCCGCACCATTTAGATGTGTCTCTGCTTCCACTCCTGAATCAAATGACTGAATTACCTCCTGACTATGCAGTCAAGCTCTCCAGAGTCCTGCTAATCACCTGATTTGGGTGAGTAGAAGCATAGACGCATCTAAAAGGCACAGGACACCGTCCCTCAAGGACTGGAACTGAGAAACCTTGAAAAAGGAGTACACACCAGGTGGGGGGAAAGGTCTGTCACTTTGTACAACATATGAAATAACTGTACAAGGTGCAGAACTACATCTTCATTACACAACCTATCTCCATGATAGAACATGGTGGTGTCTGCATCATGTTGAGGGGATGGTTCTTCCTTACGAACAGAAAGGCTGGCCGAAGATGAGGGAAGGATGGACAAAGGGGAATTTTTCAGGGGAAATGTAACTAATCAACAATTTTGGCCCAAATGATTAAAGGTTTGGATGAAACTGGTTTAAATGAATGTATATTCATTTGGTATAACCACACAGACTTTAGCCCAATTGGATATCCGACACAAGCTTTGAAAACCAGATATTAAAATGTGACCTGCATCTAATCCAACCAAGTTTGAACTATTTTACAAATCAGAATAACAATAATCAGTGTAGATGAAGAATTAAGAATATTTACTATACTTATGAAACCATTATGCAAGGAATATACATATAGAACTCAGACAGAAATGTCAAACCCTCATTAGTGGACACTCCTAAAAATATCAAACTCTTTTTTATTTTATTTTCGTATAAGTTATTCATCATATTGGCTTTAAATGTGCTTTCTTAATGTGCTTAAAACCGCAGTGTAGAGCCAGTTAATCTGTGTTGCATTGAATGATTTTGAAAACAGTGAGAGCTTTTTGAAGCATCTGGAGGTTTGGACTGAGACATTAGCAAGTCTTTAATAAATATCGATATCTTTCTGGCTCTCATTACGTTTGTTCAGGAGTTTCAGTCAGGAATGTATGAAACCAAACAACTTCCCTAAACAGTTTAGTTCTGGAGTTCCTCTACTGTTCAGTCAGAAATGATATGCTCTGCATTTTTTTTATTTACTTTGGCCAAAAAGGAAATTCTTGAAGATGTTGTGGTTTCGCTCTGGTGGAAACCTGCTAAGAATAGTAACACAAGTCTTTACAAAAGCTACAAGCAATGTGATTACTACTCTGATTGGGATCACAGTGTTTCATCCTATAAACAGCCATGAATCAGCAGACGCACAGAAGATATTGGAGGCTTCATTACTCACCTCTTTGTATGCCGTTAACATAGAGGGATTCAGTACTGTCTCGATCAGTTTTAAATCTGCTTCAGGGACATCTTTAGTGATGAGGCTCCACAGAAGCTCTCCAGGACACTCCAGATGTTCTTCATCAGGTGAATGCATGTGTGGGGCAGTCTGAGCATAAGGGAAACCATATATCACCGCACTAAGCAGAACACAATGCAACTTGAAGATGGGCAGCAGCCAGAGAGTTTAAAAAAACTTACTTGAACATTTAACTAGTTCTTCATTGCTTAAATTGTATATTATATTAGACTTTTACTTGTAATTAAATGTGTTATTAAGATGGTATTGCTAATTGTGAGGTCACACTTTTGCAATAAAACACTTGCAGTTTACTTAAAGTGATTATAATTCACATATTCACAAATATAATTAAAAGATCCTTTATTGAAATTCATAAGCATCAAATATAATACACAAGCCAGGCAAACAATTAAGGTAATTGTAACCAATTCATGTTTTTTGACTCTCTTACTTGCAAATTCCAAATAATTGGTATTGTTTATGGTGAATTTCTGACTATGATTTTCAGGCACTGAAAGTTTTTCACCCAACTTTGAACCCCCTTTCAACCTTTATGCAGTAAATTAGAGAGTAATAATGCATTACTGCTCTAGGATGATTGCATGGTTATCATTACTTTGACATTAATTTTTGGAGTTTAAGTTTTACTTTTTTTAATCACATCTCAAAACTACAAAGGTCCCCTAAGGTTTAATACTAAAGCTACAATAAAACCAAGTCAGGACTGGTTATGACTTTACCAGCTTGACTGTTTTTAAAATCACTTTTATCCCATAATAGTGCACTCAGCGAAATCCTTTGAAAATCAAAATTTCCACCCAATAGCGTTATTGGAATCCAGGACCAGACCTTATTGATACATTAAAAAAAAATTGGATATTTTGATGGCAAAAATTAATATCAATGTTATAACAGGAAACGTCAACTTGCCTCAATATTGAGTGAAAGGAACGCATTTTCTTTGGTCCAACATAACCTTAGAGGCATTAATGCTGATGATTACATTTATTAACCTAAATATAATGGCTAACTTGGCTTATTAACTGTTTAACTTTACTTGTTAACTTTTCAATTAGCTTTTTACCTTTTTTTTCTTGAATTGTTAACTTTTTCTCTTCATCTTAATTTACAGGCTCATCTAATTGGTCAAATGCCAAAATAAGATGTACAGCCATGTAGCAGTATCTTTGCTGAATGGCTGGATATAGATCTAGTGCTTCTAGACCTAACTGAGGGACGGGGGGACTCCATTAGTAACACAAGTTATCAAAAATGGTAACTTGCCCTATAAAGGGTTAAGAGTTCATATGGAAACGTGAGTCCTACCATAATAAGCCAGAACAACAGGTCGTTAGAATAACTTAGTAAATACCTTTAGATTGTTGGCGATGAAACAAACGATCACCTCAGTTGGTCTCGTGAAGCTCTAATGTATCTAAGGAAAACATCCCGGTTGCTAGGGAAGTGTTCCATCATGCATAATGTCCGTTTTACTGCAGTTTAAATCTATTCTTAAATAACATCGCAAAGAGTACGGAGGCCCTAAATGTAAATGTATTCAAAAAGTTACATTTCGCTTGATTTACGCTCCAATAATTTTTATTTTTTTTACTGAGATAAATGGGGGAGGGACTTGCTGTGAAACTTTACCCTCTCAGGATCCCAACTCTTTACTTCTTCCGGGCATGATAGAGGAGACATGCGGAATTTGAATCATTAAAGATGTGAGCAAATGTTGATTTTTTTATATATATATATATATATTCAACCAAAGCTTACTAAAGGAGGTTTTACTTTGTTTTGAGAGAGCGGTCCCCTGTATAATAATGATGGCCCAGGTTTGCATTGAGCGCCTCTCCTTGCTGCAGCTGCAGCGCATCCAGTGTGCAGCGCTCTGGGCTCTTCTGCTCTGCGCACAGGCCGCTTTGGGCTTCTCGCTCGCAGGACAAGAAGAAAGCACATGCGAGGCCAACGGCAGCACTTATTACGTGGGAGAGTGGTATTTCCTGGACTCCGATCCCTGCACCCAGTGCGAGTGCACCGCTGGAGGCTCCCTGTGCGCCCGCACCGAGTGCACGTCTCTCCCTGCAGCCTGCATCCATGTGAGCCATTATCCCACCGACTGCTGCCCCAGGTGCGAGAAGATCGGCTGTGAGTACAGAGGGGTGGTGTACGAGCTGGGCCAGAATTTCCAGGTAAGACATACACTGCAAAAAACATCTTGAATTAAGTAAAAAAAATATATATATATCTTAAATTGAGTGTGTTTACCTTTTTTCAGGGGTGGAGCTAAATGGGGGGCCAGGGGTGGCCATGGGCACCCTTAGCCAATCCTCTGCCACCCCTGCCATTTATTTCCCTGTAATACAGAAGGTGGCAACAGTACTACTCTCAAGTGGAATTTTCAAAACATTTTAAATTTTCATAAAATAAGAATTACTTGAAAACAAAAATGCTTTGGTTAATTATGCACATCAATATACTGACATTAAGATAAGTACAGAATTCAAGCAGAAATAGATTTTGTGTTTTATGGGGTAAAGAGAAAATGATGTGTCCCTGCAAGTCATTTAGGAGTCTTCAGTAAAATCACAGATAAATATCTATTTCAATAAAAACTTATTAAATAATCATTTTGTGTCGATATTAGTACTTGTATACCGTATATCAATTTTATACAGAGTGATTACTGATAAAAGTAGGTAAGTAAAGACAATGGAAAAGATGTTCGCCCAGAACTCAAACCTGAAAGAATTTTATCCACTATACCTTTTATCTAGAAAGTACAGATGTTTGAATATATTATTTGTTCTATTTGTTAGCAAAGGCTGTGGGAAAGTAAAGTTTGTCTTTATTTAGAAAATATGGATGTTTTGCTTGTAAATCTTCCTGTTGGAAAAGAGTAGATTTACCGTGAGGTTTTGGTGCCTATCTACTTTCGGCCATCCCACAGTGTACATTCGTTATTGCCTGGCCACCCTCTTAAAAATTATCTGGCTACGTCTCTGCCCTTAAATGTAGTAGATAAATAAGATGATTTGCCAATGGAATGACTATTTTTTAATCCTAAAACAAGATAATAAAAAAAAAGCAACTGAAAAAAAAACAAAGAATTTTTTTTTTCTTATTTTAAATGTAAATTGTCTTCTTCCATTGGCAAAGTATCTCAATTACCTTCTCAATTCAAGAAAAAATGCACTTAACTTAAGAGAAAATGACTCATTTAGATTTCAATTTTTTTGCAGTGTAACACCTTTTTTTGGCCCACATATTCTTCCTTAAACGGCTAGAATGGTTATGAATAATCGAGTTAGATCTACATGTGTACATTACTGCTTAATAGTTACCAGTTTAGTTTCTTAGTATTGACCTCCATTAAACAAAGATGTCTCTATCTTGAGAGATATTAAACAGGAGGTGCCTCCAAAAAATTGAGTAAAACAGCACTGACAGGTTGGGGGCCACTAATTGGCGTTTCACACCTAAACAATGAGCTGTAATGGAATTATAATACAGATGCAATGATCTTGGTCGTACAAGTTTCTGTTTCTGAGAGCCCACTGACTGAATAAGGTTTTAAACAATTGGGATTAAGAAAAGCAGGGAATAAATAATCATTACCCCCAAATTTTATAGAATTAAAAAAAAAAAAATTAACTGAAAGCAAATGTTATTAGCTGATTAATATATGTTTTTATATAGTAGTCTTTAATTTGATGCATATTTGATAGGAGAGAAAGTTTGCACCCTAATTTTACACCATTCCACCTTCGTGTCACTAATCAGAACTTATCAGTGATCATACCGTGTGTGTGCAGGGGAGACTGGGATGGCCACAGAAAGGAAAAATTTAAGATGGAAAAATCTTAAAACGTCCTTAATTACTCTCTTAAATTGTAACCACTAAAAACTATTATGCACATAATACTGTCTCCACAGCACCACTGGTACAAATTAGAGCTGAAAAAAAACAAACAACAAAAAACACCAAAATAAATTTATGCTTGCAAAGAATATGCAAACTTTATTTAAAAAAAAATAGCCTTCTGGCTTAACTTGGTATAAACAGTAAAGAACACTTTGCACAAACTAATCATGTTAAGATACAGATGAAAAAGGATTTTCAAGCTCATAAATCTTAGGCTTTACTATTCAGTACTGTATATTTACTCTGTTAATTACAGTTAGAATCTCCATTGTTTCTAAATGTCTCTTTGCTTTGACTAAATTAAGACCAAAAAAATGTAATAAGCCTGCAATAAAAAGTGTTTGTGTTTTGTGGGTAATAAATGTGCAGCAGATAATCAGAGGTAAATGGCGCCCCCTTTTGAAATACAACGCACTGAAATTCCTGTATCAATATGGAGCTAAACCAGTGACACTGACAGTTTAGACATTGAAAAATCAGACACTGAATGTGGTGATTCTGAAACCATCTCATTGAAAAAAACTGCAGCCTTTAAGGAGAATATCATCCATCCATCCATCCATCCATCCATCCATCCATCCATCCATCCATCCATCCATCCATCCATCCATCCATCCATCCATCCATCCAGAACCCACCCATGCACAGCTGCTTGACCTTTTAGTGTTCAGTTTAAGTTTATTTTGCAATGTTAATGCAAAATGTTTTGCAATGTTGTCCTTTGCGGTGTCAGTTTAAGCTGTCTCTGGTTTAGCTCCACAGTACCTGAAGAGGGGATTATAAAATGTCTGAAATTTAGGATCACTTTGTGTGTTCCAGCCATCAGAATGTGAGCAGTGCACTTGTGACAGTGATGGCATCGCCCGCTGTCTTGTGGCAGACTGTGCTCCTCCGCCATGCGTCAATCCTGTTTACCAACCAGGGACATGCTGCCCGGAGTGCAAGGACGGTATGTTGGAATAAAAAAAAAAAAGTTTCTGAAGTAGAGTGCTTTGTACATGTCAATTAAGAAACACAAATGTATGTATTTTGTGCAGATAGAGTATGTTAATGGGGACATTATTGTGAGTTTAAAGGAAACTTAGCTTTCTTTTTTAGTCAAATCAGTATCATAAGAAAACATTGTATACATTTATTTTTAGTCCCTTTTACTCTCATACTGCCAGTGAATTAAAATACACCCAGAATTGAATTATTGAACAGTTAGCAGTGATTGATAACGATTATTTTGCAAATAATTTAATCTGCCAATTTAATTTTCCATTAATCGAATAATAATCGGATAGCAAAAGGTTTTACAAAAGTAAACCAAGTGAAACTAAAACTTTTCCACTTGAGGAGTTCTAGATAGAGCATATTGACAGACAAAAAAGATTTTTATCTTGAATGCAAAATGTTTACACATATTTTAACAATCTTGATATAATAACTGTTGTAGTAGGTCGCTCTGTCAGCTAAAGATATATTTTAGAGTCTTTAAACTCAGATTAACGATCAGTCTATTACTAAATTAGTTGGCGATTAAAAAATTGATTATTTACAATTAATCCGATTGTTTCAGCCCTTGATTGATTAGTACATAGTGGTCACCTGTGTGTAATCAAGTCTCTGTGTAAATCAAGAAATTCTGTGAAGGCACTGGTGATGTTTTAGATGACATTAGTGAACAAAAAGCTTTGCAGAAATGTCAGGAAGTCGTGTAAAGCAGTGTTGCTCTTGAAACAGGGGAGGCTCAATAGTGTTAATTAAATCCCAACATCACGTATTGCATTAAGAAAGGTTGAAACACAAAACACATTATTATAATCAGTGAAAATAGCTGTTGTGAAGTGCTCTGAAATAAAACTCCAGAAACCACAGCACAAAACCACTGCATGTTTGCCAATCAGCATCGACCAACCAGCTTCATGACCCGCCTCTGCTCCAAAGACCCTCTAAGAGGTTTAGCCTCACTGGGAGTGGGGTATTTTTGCATGTTATCAAATAGGGCCATACTTCTACTTTCTCGCTGCTTACCTCAATAGTACGAGGCTTAAACCTAAGCAGAGATTTCCAATAGAGACTGACCGGCAGCATCCTGCAACTCAAGAGCGGAAAGGAGACCATGTCAGAGAGCAGAATAAACAGATTAATGCACAACATACGTATGAAATCAGGCTCATTTTAGCACTTATATTATGCAGTTTAATTACTACATTTATTAACTTTGACAATGAATATTTTTCTAATAATTTCACAACATTTTCAAGTGAGGTTTAGCCTCCCTAGTATTCAATGAGAAATCGCCACTGGTATAAAAATTTTAAGCTAGTCTATATAAAACAATGTACGCTTTTAACTTCTCATTGAGCTACAATTAGTAAATTACCTGAAATTCAAAGGCAATGTGGCACCAACGAAAATACCAGGATGTGGCTGGTTATCTAAACTAACTAGCCGGCAAAGGAGAGCATTTGACTGAGAAGCAGCTGGACCATGGTACTGTAACTCTGGAGGAGCTGTAGAGATTCACTAAATCGGGAGAATCCGTTGACAGAGTATATAGGATGCATGGACTGCAAAAAATGTCCTTCATGGAGTGTCAGAAAGAAAACCATGAGTAGCAATG